AGGGAAGGATCAGAGTTGTAGATAGCACCCCCTGGCATTGGAGGGCAAAAATGGGCAGCCTACCACCTAATTAACACCATAATTATTTATCATCAAGGCATGGCAGGAGAGACAGGTGGGCTGTTAGCCCAGAAACAGGTGGGCGGGCCAACATGAGAAAAGCCCCAGGAAGGCCACCTGTTGCAGCCAGGCTCTGCAGCCCTAGTTTTCTCTGCCTCTCTGTTCCAGTGACAAGGGTGGCAGAGAGATAGAGAGGGGTTTGGGATGGAGAGTTGGAAGGCTGATGGGAGGGAGCCATGGATCCAACCCTCTGCCAACCCTCCAGAGACATCCTTCATTCCCTGTAGTGTCTCCTGGCTAGAGAGCCATTGTTGTGAAACATTTCAGTTATGAAATATTTCAGCCACAGGGTAGCATAGGGACTATACATATGTCTCCCTGCTGAAACAAGTCCTTTTTGAAATATTTCCAAGCCCATTTCATTTGAAAATGTTGTAAAAAAAGTACATATGTCTGCACCCTTAAGTGGGCAATCTCTCTCTCTCTCTCTCTGTCTTTTTGCCGAAGTTGAGATCAGTCTGTTAAAACCTTTCCCATTTAGTGGTAGCAGCAGAATGTGAAAGCTAGATGTTATAGACCAGCAACAAAGCTGCAGCTAGACATGTTATGGGGCAATTTAAAATACCTTCTCTTTTCCCCCAAGGCTCTAATTAGGCCACTTAGCTCATCATTTCTGTATGGGTTGTCACTCTCAGAGCCCTAGATTCTGTGTTCCACAGAACTAGGCAGATGAGTAAAAATGGTCAAGTGAGGAACTGAGAATATTTTTGCTTTTGTCAATATCAATAATATATCATGCGCCAGAGAACTTCACAGCAGCATTTTAACAGTTCACAATTTAAATTCCTGCCAACATAAACATAAGTAGCTTTACTCACATAAGTAGCCCCATATTCTCCAGTTGAATTACTCATGTAAAGTTACACAAATGCAAAGTGTTTGGGGGAAAGGGCTCTGAATGGGCAACACAAAACAGAAAAGGATGCAAGAAAAAACAAAAAAAATATATGTTTGAAAAAATATTCCATCTACTCCATCCTAGTTTCCTTTTACATTTTAAATCCTATCTTACTAGAAACCTTTACTAGTGTTTCTTAAAATTAATTATCTGTAATCTATTTTTATTTACTTTTAAATTGTTTTTCCTTTCAGTAATTTTAATATTACTGTTTCTCTTTTCATGGGCAAAAAGTGACTCCCACTTAAGGAAAGCTTAGCAGGTCCACAGGACTTGCCCTTTAAAAATCTCATTAGATATCTAATATGCAAAGATACTAGTCTGAATTTTGCCTGCAGGAACATACATGACACACACAGTGGGTCCACCCATCAGATGCCAACTCTGCTGATGGGTCGTATGCTCTTGTGCCTGTCATCAACTTATTCTTCAGCTTGGCCAATAATCAAGTGTCCTGGGGGAACTGCTCCTTTTTGATTACTTGTGTTTTGCCATATGTATTTCTAAAAGGGCCCTTAGGACTCATAGCCTTTAACTGTTTCCAACTGACTTTTCATAAATTAATGTGTTATTTTGGGTAGGCTCCATTTCTTAGGACAGTATAGGATAAAGCAGAGACAGAGGAGAGCATGATTAAAATATATTCTGCTGCAGGCTATGGGTTACTATTCCAAAACATAACCATAAAAGGACTAAAAGCCACAAATTCCCTCCCTTCCCCGCACTGTTAGCAGAAATCTGTTCAGGAAATACTCCACACAACAAGAAAGCTACCCCCTCCAATTCCCTGTTAGATGTCCCTGCCTATATGTGAGTGTATTTTTTTAATGATTTGTTTTCAGACCTTCAGTAAAATCTTAAAATCACTGTATATACACAACACACAATTATTTACATTTGAGTTAGGTTTCCTAACAAATTATCTACTTTCTGAGCTCAACTTTCACCAACTTTTCAGCCTTATGCCCATGAGGAGAAAGTCACAGTTAAACTCTATGTGCTGTTTCCTCAAGTGCAGTTTTGTGCTGTAAAATCCATAGTGTGGAAAGGGCTAGAGATGGGCTGATTTAGTCTCTTCTCCCTTATCACCTGGCTCTCAGCAGGGTTTGGATTCAGTTTCCTGGATTTAAACATATGCATGTCCAAACTGGCCAGGAATGTTCAAATTCAGATTCATCCCAAGATAGTCACAATTTAATGGAAATAAAGATGAACAACGATCTGATGAAACTTCAGTCATTTGAAAGAAAAAAAAAAGTTAGATAACTGGTCTTACAACTTTTCTTCTCCATGGAGCTGAATACTCATGAGATTTCTTCATCTCTCAAACCTGAACACCCTGCCTAGCCTAAATGTGCTCTTAATCCAACTATCTACATTTATTTGTGCTCCCTCTTTGGTCACTGTCTTTCATCCTGAAAGTCCTGATCCTGCAAATACTTATGCATATAAGCAATGTTATACATGAAAGCATTTCCTTTAACTCTGTGCTCACATGCATTTCATTTTTCAGGATCAGGTCCTTTCTACTTTGTTTTCCTCCAGGCATGTTATTTACATCATGATAATGTTGATATATGTGTTAATGAGTCTAATTCCATGATTGGACTCAGGATATCATTAATGTGAAATGCATTGCCTCATATATGCACATTTCATCACCAGAGTGAAGACACAGCCTTTGACAGTAGGAGCCCAGTCATTTCCCTAATACAACCTGGTTAACAATGGCAATGTCTGCAGTCTCTTAAGGCTCTCATTGGCAATGTGTGTGACAGAGGCAATGACATTAATAAAACATGCCAGCTGGATAATATGCAAAATTCCAATCATTTCAAAGCTATGAATATTTCATTTTTCATTCACAGTTCGTGAGTATAGTTTTAATAATTTAAGATTGCCAGCAATAAACACACGTGTATATTCATTACAGTCACTTTTGACCAAAATCTACAATAAAGGAAAGTTTAAAATTAGATTTTCAACAACAACCATTTTTAGATACTTTGCTTTTTGATTGCAACATCAGGGCCATAAATATTAATCTCTTGTATGACAAGCAGGGGCTTTAAGTGGCACCATTTTGTATTATCCTGTGTTGTTTTGTGGAATTGTGTGATTATCCCCAGATGGGGAAAACAAGAAACAATGCCACTTAATAAGAACCAGCTTGTTTTAGATATCCCAATAACTTGTTTGTAAATGTGAAAGGAGAATTAGGTGTATTGTTATTAGTTGTAGTGTTATAGTATATGAGGACATCCTGAAAATACAATATTTTACAGTAACAAGTGAACAACAGTTTTAAAATTACATTCAGTAGTATTATATTGAATATTATTTTATTAGATTTACCATTCCAGTGGTGTGTGTGTGTGTGTGTGTGTATAATTCAGTATTACCCCGATAGTGGAATAATGACAAGAGGATTGACTTTATTCTAATTATATTTTGCTTTTGGTGCAGAATCTGACCAACGAAGAGCAAGTGGTTGTCATACAAGCAAGGACAGTTCTCACACTGGCCGAAAAGGTAATAACTACTGCATCATTAATAGATTAAATCATGTTATAAAAATGTTTGCCCCTCAGAATAGTTTGAATTGACATATTGGTATAATTGTTTCTTCACAAGATGATAAAAGTTCTTTAAGTATACTTATGCAATATTTTTTCAAGATATTTAAAGATAACAGACAGTACCATAATTTATTTTAATGTATTTAAGTAATAATGTTATCTTGGGAGATAAATTGCTGGTGTTTGGAAGACTGTTTCTTCTATTCACCAGTTTATAAGTATAATTACTTGATTTTCATTGTTTTGGATTTGAAATGAAATACATTTAATATAGCATGTTAGAGTTGTAATGGAAGTTGAGTAGTAAACATGCTTTATGGAAGAAGCTGTATGTTATTGGTTTTAGGAAACTGATCTATCAATATTTAGGACTTAACTTCTTATTATTTTCTATATGCAGTGGCTACAGCAGATAGAAGTGACAGAATCTGCACTGCAGCAAAAGATGCTAGACCTTGAGAATGAAAAGGTACTAGAGAGGCTTTCGGCTGGTAAAAAAACAACTGCCATTAAAATTTGTGTCAATAAAAATCAAGGTAACCTAGTCCTCTTTCTGTCCACAGGAGCTGTTTAGTAAGCAAAAAGGTTATTTGGATGATGAACTTGATTACCGGAAACAGTCCTTGGATCAAGCACACAAGGTAAGAGATATCACTTGTACATCATACAAACAGCATACAGCATACATCGTAAAACAGATGTATGCTGTTTTATATAAATTACTTCATGTCATTTTTCAGTTCTTCTGAGTAAGGAACTCCCTTTGGATAATCTGGGAATTCCATGGAATGGTTGGAGGATTGTAAGCCAATCATTTAGACTTTCATAAAGCAATGAGTTCTGAATGGGCAGATTCCTGTGTTTGCAAGGAACTCATTGCAAAACCAGGGACTTAAGTATTGACTTTTGACACAAACATTCTAACGTGACTGTGCATCTGGAAGGAAAAAACGTAAATCGTAAGTAAATATAAAATTTCTATTTACCCTAAAAAATATATCTTATCTTAGGGTTTTCCCCAGAAGAGTATGCTCCAACTCATCTAGCTAAAATCAAGCTAAACATGTTATTCTGCATAAGGAGGAAAAAAGTTTAGATCAGATTGGCCTAAAATGTATTAGCTAACCCTGGTCTAAATTTGACGACCATTTCTAGCCATTAGTCTTTTTCTACAATTAATATCCTACATAGAATTATATTACCACCAAAAAAAAGTGAAAGGAAATATTCATTCCAGTTTTTGGACATTTTTTCCCCTGTGCTGTCTCATAGCTGAATAAGATATTTAGTCTTCCTTTTGGATATTTTATATATGCTATGGTGCAAAACCATTTGGGGAAGAAATCTTTCAATACTGTTAGTAGTCCTACATTTCTTCTAAGAGTTTGATGTTGTGAAGTGCTCAGCTTCTTCTGAAACTAAAATCTCTTTAGAGCAGAATCCATAGAAAAGAAATAAGTCCCAAGTTAACTCTATGTTCCATACTAATACAACAGCATGGCATAGATACCAAATGCATAGCAGCTAAACTGATACAAATACAACATACAGAGTGCATCTATGCACGCACTTTACTGCAGAGTAGACTAATTAGCTCTGCCATAAAGTATCACTGTCTACACATGCCTGCATACACTGTCTACACCCATATTAGGGTACAGGAAATTAACTCCGCTGTAGGATAGTACTATCTAGGACATGTATTATCCCACAGCAGAGTAATTTATGCTGTTATCCTCACACTATAGCACCCTTGTATCCCAGCCAGCCCCTCCACTGCCCACTGCTGCCACCTGATCCTGGGGCTGAGCCCTCCAAGGCCCCTGCCAGCCCTGGGCTTCTCTGCCCTGGCTCTTCTATCACTTCTATTACTGTGATCCCAGGCGCACATGTAAATTCTGCACCTGGGAGCAGCTGACTCCAGTGCAAACTGAGCTGGAGTTTATTGTGTTGGGGTAATTCCACATGTAGATGCACCCGGTAGATGCAACCATAGGGTGTGTCCAGACGAGCGGGCATGTGCCTCTTGCCCCATCTCAAACCCCTTTGAGATGGGGCAAGAGGCACATGCAGGAATGAAAAAATGTTCCTCACGCTGCAAACTTGCAGTGCAGAGAGAAAATTATACCCCTGGATATCCAGGGGTCAAACAAAAACCTGGGGGGAAAACCAGGTCCGGGCATGGTCCCAGACCATGCCCTGAAGCAACCAGAGGCTCAGTCCTCCAGAGATGCTCTGGCAGAGTGCCAGAGTGTCTCTATGATTGGTCCTTTCCCTGCTCCTGAAGCATGCTGCCTGCCCATGCTGGGCAGGCAGCAGTACAACCTGCAGGGACCCGGACCCAGCTTTTGCCAGGTAAGCAGGGGGTTGGGGAGCTGGAGGAGGGGGGAGGGGACCTTGGGAGGCTGGGGACAGTAGGGGAACAAGCAGAGGGCCAGAGACAGCCCTAAAGGCATTCCCCTTCTGTCCCCTGCTCTCCCGAGGCTGGAGGCATCAGGGGAATGTCTCTGTGGCTGTCTCCAGCCCCCTGCTCCTTCCCCTCCTTGTCTCCAGGCTTGTATCCAGGCTGTGGCTGTCTCCAGCCTCAGGGGAGCAGGGGAAGGAGCAAGGGGCTGGAGACAGCAGGAGAATGTATCTGGGGCTGTGTTCAGCTCCCTTCTTCTTCTTCTCCTGCTTGTCTCCAGCCTCAGGGGAGCAGGGGACAGCAGGAGAATGCCTCCTGGGCTGTCTCCAGCCCCCAGCTTGTTCTCCTGGTGTCTCCAGCCTCCTGAGGCTGGAGACAAGCAGGGAAAGGAGGAGGGTGATGGAGACAAGCAGGAGGCTGGAGACAAGCCCCTGGAGATAAGCTGGAGACTTCCCTTGCTCTCTCCAGTGTCCTGCTCATTCTCTGATACTGCTGATGAATGTGGGGGGAGGGGGCCGGGAGAGCAAGCAGGGAGATGGGAGAATGAACAAAGGGTGGGGGGAATGAACAGGAGGGGGGGAATAAATAGGGGACAGGGGGAATGAGTGGGGAGCAGGGGAATAAATGGGGAGGGGTGGGGGGAATGAGCCTCCTGTTTATTCTCCTATTCTCTCCAGCCTCCAGAGAGGAGCAGGGGAATGAGCAGGGGGCTGGAGACCAGCCGGGGGGGGCGGGGGAGGGAGCTGTCTCTAGAAGGGCCTGGGACCCTGCAGGCAGTGTAGTCCATGTGCTGTGGGGTGGGGCTCTGCCCTGTGCAGGGCAGGGGACCATTGAGTGCACGTGCACTCCCTGAGCATGGTGGTGCACCTCCTCAAAAAAGGTGCTGCCGACACTGTTGGTGGTGCCTGTAGGTGGGTGCCACTTGCCACCCTACACCGCTGGTGGTGTCTGCAGGCAGTCAGTGATCGCTGCTGGCCACTGCTGTTGCTGCTGGTGGTATCTGTGGGTGCTCATCACCCCTGCCCTGCTGCCGACTGTGCCGGCAATGTGGCAGGGGAATGAGCAGGGGGCTGGAGACCAGCCGGGGGGGGCGGGGGAGGGAGCTGTCTCTAGAAGGGCCTGGGACCCTGCAGGCAGTGTAGTCCATGTGCTGTGGGGTGGGGCTCTGCCCTGTGCAGGGCAGGGGACCATTGAGTGCACGTGCACTCCCTGAGCATGGTGGTGCACCTCCTCAAAAAAGGTGCTGCCGACACTGTTGGTGGTGCCTGTAGGTGGGTGCCACTTGCCACCCTACACCGCTGGTGGTGTCTGCAGGCAGTCAGTGATCGCTGCTGGCCACTGCTGTTGCTGCTGGTGGTATCTGTGGGTGCTCATCACCCCTGCCCTGCTGCCGACTGTGCCGGCAATGTGTGCGGGAGCTCCCCACTTACCACTGCCACCACGCTCTCAGTGGGGCCATGCCCTATCAGCCACCAGGGGTATGCGGTGTTCATGCAGGGGACCCACCCCTCCTAAGCAGCCCCCACACCCACAGTCCCCCCACACCTACCCATACAGTGACTCGCATCCCCCCACATCCTTCCACACCCACCCACATCCCTCCACCACCCTTTCCACCCCCTCCTGCAAACCCCACATCCCCCCATCACACACCCACCATGTGATAAGGAAACCCAAAGCAAACAAAACATATAGATATTTAGGATTTATTTTATTATGATGCTAGAGACACTGATAGGCTTCCAAATTTCTTGAATGTTGTAAATATAACAATAAAACATTGCCCATCTGGTCAATCCCCCTTTCTCTCTCTCTTTTGTTCTAATTGTGGAAGAATGTGGATTTTGGGGTATTTTAAAAAGTGAATTTGGGATACTGCCTCAGCAGTCTAGCTGACACAAGGAGCTAGTGTCCCCAGATACCAATTGCCTGGACCCCAGAAGCTCTTGAGGTCACATAACCCTGAGCTGCTGGCCAGGGCAAGATTTTGTACTGCTGGGGCCAGGACAGGGCAGCTTTTCATACTGCTGGGGACAGCACAGGTGCTTGCCTCAGGCTCTACCTCCCCCTGGATGCAGGTCTGGGAGGAGCCAGGCAGGGTTATTTTGCCCCAAGTGGCACAATTTGCTTCACAACAAAGTGCATGTCCAAGCACGTGCACTGAGGCAGAAAGCCCCGGCTCAAATTTGCACTGCTTCTATTTGAGCTGCAGCAAGTGCACATGCTTGCATATGTAGACACGCCCATAGGGTTTACTTTGTGGACCCTAATCCAGCTGCTTTGCACTGCTGAAGCAACCCAAAGCACTCCCTAGAGGGCAACTGGATTCTTATGGGGGGCACTGGGAAGAAGGATGAATGCTGGAGGATGAATGCACAAGATCTTCAGCTGGTGCAACAGCTCATTTCAGGCAATATACCTTAGATTGACCCTGAGGGTGCATCAGCCTCTAGCTATTCTCCTGCTTATGGAGGAGGTGGTTGTAGAGACACTCTTCCTACCTCTCCTCCTTCTGAATTGTGACAACTGTCAGTTTGGTGGAGTTGAAGTCTGAGACACAAAATTCATATTTAAAAATAGACCTTGAGACAGCGATGATCCCTCTATGAAGCACCTGTACTTAGCCAGCAGTTATGAAATTTCTTTCTGCTTCTGAAGTGCTCTGAAAGTAGATATAGTGCAGCTGGAAAGATTGATTGACATTGTCCAGAACTCCTTTATATGTAATGGAATCAGCAGCAAAGTTGATCAATACCAAGCAGTAGATATTGATTTGCATTAAATGGAATTCCATTACATCAGTGTGGCTTAAGGGCAATCACTCTTTCATGTTGCATTCCATGTACTATCAGTCCCAGGATGTTATACTCACTGAGTAATCCCAAACCAAATACATTTTCTGTACTTCTGCCCATAGAAAATGAATGAGTATGTGATGGTAGGTATAGAATTGCCTGAAGATTACCTGCATTTCCTATTTCTTGACTACTTAAAGCAAGTATCATCAAGCAAAGCAATGGGCTTCACCAATATATCCTAAGTGTGTGTAAAAAGAAATAAAAGAAGAACAATTTCAGCGGCAAAAGAGCTTGTTTCCTGGGATTGTAATTTTCACTTGCACCATTACCCTGTCTGCACTGCAAGATAAAAGAATCCCAACCCTTCAAGTGACCAACTATAGCTTGCAAAATTACCAATGACAGATGGTAAGATTCTTTTGTTTAGTTTGTCATCATCTTTATTTGATTTTTCTTTTTGGCTATTTATTGTTAGGAGCTATTTACATTTATGGTAAACATCTTCTGCAAGCACTATTCTTTCCACTTTTTCACTCTTTCATGTGGTTATTATCAGTATATACATTATAGTAGCATGTAGAAGTTCAAGCCCTAGACAGTTAGTTAAACCAAAAATTTCTCTTTCATTTAGTTGCAGTTTGTAACATTCATTTCCTGTGTACTTGTATGAATATAGGATGAAAATCAGAGTGGGGACAGAATTGAATGATATTTTAAATTATATTATTTATTATCAATTATTAATTCCATTCATACTCAAAGTTATTTTAAATGTATAGGTGAATATGTTAGCTAAACTAGTATAGTTATTCCAAAATCAGGAATATAGAGACCCAACAATAACTAAAATACAACTAATAATTATTTTTGCTAAAACAATTAATGTGGGTATGCTGTCTACTATTTTTAAAAGTGATAGAAGAGCACTCATCAGAAAGAGCCACACTTTCAAACATGGGCGACTGGTGCCTCCCGAGTCTGTGGAGGCACCAGATCAATGACCAGGGAGGGGCCCCAGCGGCCGATTGCCAAGCCTGGAACCACCAGTGGTGAAAACGGAAGTGCACTTCTGCAGGCACTTCAGGTTTTGCAGCTGGTGCTTCCAGGGAATGCATGGCCAATCTCAGGGAGTGCACGTGCACCCATGTACACACATCGCCAATGCTTTCAAAATAGTAGCAGTGCTCATTCCTAGTAGAAATGCACCGGTACTGTCCACCAAGTGTCATTAGATTGAAAGTAATATTCTGCTGTATCTTTGCTTATTCTTCTTTGAAGCACATTCTCTCAGTCCTGACTCAACTACAGAGAAAAAGTGAGACAAAGATCCTCACCTGGATCATGGCCTCTCCTAAGAAGACTCCCAGTCTTTGTTTTTTGGTTCTGAGACTGTTACATTGTTTGGCTACCAGGAACTAATACCAGGACAACTAGTGAACCACATAATTTTGATTGATCATTGATCTTTGTTTATACCAAGAGTGTATACAGTTGCTTCTCATGTTATGTGCCCTTGAAAATCATCTCTCATCTCATCTGCTTTTCATTCAACAAAAGCACATACATTCTGAGGAATGCTACACTAAGGATATTGTGAAAGGCTACTTTTACTACATTTATTTTTTGCATGTGCTTCATACTGTTTAAAATAGGACTTTTTCAAATGCTGCCAGTAATACCTTCTTTTTTTTTTTTTTTTGTATTTTAGAGGAGCAGCAACCAGACTGAAGGAACATTCGGAAAAGAAACTAACTGCAGGAATATGAAGTGGCAAAGCGGTATTCACACCATTTTCAAACTTCAAACCAAGTCTCTCTGCCTTGTTATATACAATTTTTTTATACCTTTTTATATACAATTTAATTAAAACTTTGTAATAGCTTTTTTAAAGCAAAAATAAATGGAAGGCAAGTAAAATATATTTTAAAATTCACTGATTGTTATAAAACATGAAACTAAAAAATAAAGGTCATTTTGGTATGCTGAACATTATTGTTCCTGCTTTTTTAAGAACTGCTTGTACTCCTGAGTGCATTTATCTCTGACTACCCAGACATGTGTGTCCACCCATACATGCATGCATAGACATCTCTGTATGACTGTATATTTACATGGAAGTAAGGTTATGAGTAGAACTAAGGAAAAAGATGAATCCCTGGCAAATGGAGTAGAAAATCACAATATCTAAAGTTTAATGCAAAGCTCAGATGGTTTGCTTATGCTTTTTTAAGAAACAAAAATAAGATAATTCTCACAGGTGACAACTATTTTCAGTGGGAAAAAATATCTTTGTAAGTGATAGGTCAGATTCACAAAGTGAGTGATTTTTTTTCCTCCAAACTGATGGGCCTTAAGCAGTTCAGGCATTGAGAACTGAGTACTCTGGAGGAAATGGCAACATTTCATTCTAGACAAATATATGAATAATCAAAAATATCTCTGAGTTCTGATTCCATATCCCCTATCCTATGACATCTACATACTGTTCTCTCAGATACATTCCAGGTATAAACAGAGAAGTGAACTGGTGGATAGCTATTCTAATGTAATAAAAGCCTTAGTCTGTCTGTCTGTCTGTCTGTCTGTCTGTCTGTAACACTTTATTCACACTGTGATTGGCTGACAAAACAACCAATAACAATGCTGACTGAAGCAACCAATCAGAGTGCTCTGCACAGACAGACACACACAGTGGAGTGCTGCCATGATGGCAGGGACTGAGGGGCCAGAGCACGGGGTAAGGCCAGTGCTGGCCTTGGCCCCCTCCCTCACTTCTTGAAGGTGGACAGTGGGGATGGAGCGGGGGGAGGGAGCGAGGCCAGCACTGCTGGCCTCACCTCCCCAGCCTTGCTTCTTGAAGGTGGCAGCAGCGCAGGGTGCTGGTGGCACAGCACTAGCCTTGCCCCCCGCCACTCCAGCCTCAGCCTCATCACCACATCCAAGGGGTGGCCATGCCCTTCCCCCCCCCAGCAGACAGACAGGACCAAGGGATGGGGGGACATGGGGAGTGGAGGGGCCCACGGGGCCAAAGGTGGAGTGGCAGCACCACCTGGGTGCCAGTGTCTCCCGCACCCCCAATTTGCTAGTTTTTTTTCATAATGTCAGAGATAAATTGTGGGAATTTCCAAGAGAAATTTAAAGGATAGATCACAATAAGCCCGTTAATATTGCAAGCCTGAAAATTTGCTCTAACCATCTCTGAACAGGGCATCTATACACATGCTTCAGGGGGTGGGAGGATGTTTTAATTGGAGCGGCTCCAAGAGCGGCTCTAATTAAAGTTCCCAGAGCGTCTCATGTATCAGTGTCCCTGTGCTTCAAAATGGTGGCAAGAGTGCTTTATCTAAAGTTTGTTTGACAAGCTTTAGGTGAAACGCCCCCACTGGCATTTTGAAGCATGGGGATGCTGATCCACAAGATGCAGAGGCTGGCTGGAGTGTGGTAATTACCAGGCTCCAGTAGACTCAGTTAATTGAGTTTGCTCCGATGTACTGTAGTTACAGTGCATCAAAGCAGCCTCTGCAGTCGTATATAGGCACCCTGTGTGCGGAGGTAGCAGGTGTTTAACAATTGATTTGCTGTGTGTCTCCATGTGTCTTGCCAGAGAACAGCAAATAATATTCTTACCTCACATGAAGAACATTTTTTTCTAAGATTATGAACTGAAGAATCCTTGCAGACTGTATCTAACGTACATAGAATAAAGTACAAATTAACTTAGATAAAAGGGTGTTTTTAGGTCATTTTATCTTCAGAGATTGATTGAAAGAGAGAAATCTTTCCAGATCAAATAGCTACCACCTGAATTGAATGTTTACCACTTGAATTTAGAGAGTGAAGCTTATCAGGGAACCCTAGAATGCATTTATTCCTGATAGAGATTTCCATTATCCATATACAGTTCCACCATAAATTATTGTGGTTTGGAAGCTGCTGTAGATGTTCAGTATATCTAGATTCCTAATATTTTAAGCCAGAAATATGTCCCACTGATGTTCATAAAAATATTGATAAATTAGTGGAAGGTTAGACAAGAGCAGCACAATTAATTGAGGAGTTGGAGAGATTGATTTACATTAAAAGCATATGAGCTAAGCTTATAATTTAGCTACAAATAAGTAAGGGAGCATATAATCATTAGAAGAATGATGTTCTGAAATAGTTTTCCAACCGAGTAATGGGACAAGAAATCTCACTGTTTTCACAGTGGAGCTAATTAAGTTTATGAAGGTGATTATATGATGTAGTTGCCTGCCACAGCTGGAGGAACTCCATGACCTAGTGTCCTTTTTTCTATTTCCTATCTTTCTAGGGCTAAAGAACTAAAGAAACATGGGGAGTATATCAGTCCATAAAAGAACGTATAAAGCATAGCAGAATAGGTGTAACAGAGAGCAACAGAATGTGTCTGAGAGTGTAAAAATGTAGCCTAGCTATTAAACAATATCAAAGTTCCCTGATGGAAGTAATGGACATCCCTTTAGGTAGGCAAAAGTAAGCAGAACTCTTGGGTAGGTGATATCTTTTATTAGACCAACTAGATAATTGCAAAAAATATATCTTTATTTGCAAGCTTTCAGGCGCACATGCCCTTCCTCAGGCATAGGACAGTGCAAAGACTGTAAAATTTCTCCCAGGTGAAAATAAAAATTCATATTTCATAAGACAGCTGAAAGATGGTGTAAGATCTCCTGGTTGGAAAAGTTCATTTTATGCAAAATAGGCTCAGATAAAAGTAGGAGCAGTCTATTTATCTCTGAGTTGTCTGATGGCAAGTAGGACATTGAATTATGCTTCTTTTTTGTGATGTTGTTTTATATTACACAGGAGGATGGTGATGGAAGGCTCTTCTGGGCAAGGAATTTCTATTGTGTTGAGACTGCTTTGCACTCTCCTATGTCTGAGGAAGGGCGTGTGTGCCTGAAAGCAACAAATAAAGAAAAAAATATTGCAATTATCTAGCTGGTCTAATAAAAGATATTACCTCCCCAAGAATTCTGATTACTTTTGCCTGAAGACCAACGTGTTTCTGTATCCCTGCCATCTGATTCTGATGGTATATGAGGAGGGCGACTGTCTATGCATAGCTTGTTATCTATGCACAGCAACCATCATGGATTTAGAATCCTAGGATCATAGAAAAGTAGGGCTAGAAGGGACCTCACAAGGCCATCTAGGGCTAGACCAGCCCCCTACTCAAGGCAGGATCACCCCTGACTTCTTGCTTCATTTCATCCTTCTCACCCTTCCTACTTTCTGAATCCCTGGTGATCACCAGGATTGGTGTCTGAAAGAGATTGTTCTCGTATGGCAGAGTAGGCAAACTGAATTAGATGAAAGTTGATCTACCCATGTCCTATAAAGGAAGTTGTTGCCATTGCTTGTTATTACAGTCTTGGTATGATTGGGCAATATTTGTAAAATTCCCATTGATTTTGAGTATGTACTCAAATGGGACAGCTTGTACTATATACCTCACTTGTACCTTTGTTTCTTTGTTTTTTCTTACATTTAGGCCATAATATCTATAAAATGTGTATGCTGAAATTTCATAATGTCAGTGGGGCGGTTTTATACTACATGGTTATAGAATATACTCCTATACCCTTTACACTGTTAAGAAATGGAATGTAAATTCTTATTTCATAAACACACTGAGGAGTTGATTCTAGGTCTTTGAAATCAGTCCATCAGCACATAAGGTCAATACAGAAGACATGAGGTGATGTGGCATTTCTCAGAAGTACAGGGGGGCAGTGCAGGAGGCTGTATACTAGTTGCTCTTTGCTAGTTGAGGATAAGGAATTGGGCATACCTGCATAGTACGATCAAATTCTAGGCTGCACGGAGGCCATTCTAGCCATCTGTGTGCCCTTGGCTCAGCTCCTGCTTATACCAGAGGTGTTTTCAGCTGTCACTGAAGTCCAAAGTCCAGGCAACATAAAGGAAGCTTGAAAGAACCTTTGTACTTTTTACAGTGGACTGTGCCTTCCATGATACGATTTGCAGGACATCCAGCACCTAGTTTTTCCCTGTATCATTTTCTGTAGCGTCATACAGTTTGGGACAAAACATGTTCTCAACAGCTGTCCTCCACCACCACTAAGAGAAAGGATAAGCTGACATCCTTATATTGTTTTTGACTAGCAAATTCTGGAATTAGAAGCCATGCTATATGATGCCCTGCAGCAAGAAGCCGGAGCCAAAATCTCTGAAATTCTTTCACAAGAGGAGAAAGACAAGTTGAAGAGTGCTGTAGAACAATGGAAACGCCAGGTTATGAGTGAACTCCGAGAGAGGGATGCCCAGATTCTGCGTGAAAGAATGGAACTCATTCAACATGCACAACAGGTAGACATTGATACAAGATGTGCAATAGTTAATGCTCTGTTTGCCTTCCCCAGATTAAAACATGATAAAATGAGAGCTCTGTCCCTTTATATTTTGCTGCTTCTCTCTCTTTGATTAAAGTGAAGTATATATTCCAGCTGTTCTTAACCAAATGTTTCCAGAGGTTGACGTTCACTTTCCTTTGCCAGAAAGCCAGCATATATCCAGATAATATTAAAAGCCTAGGATGATATTTTTGGAGTTGCCTATGGTGTTGGGCACAAAGTTTCCATTAATCTTCATGGGGACAACGTATCCATGTTCCTTAAGAAATTTAGAGAACCCCACAGGCTTTAGTTTTTGGTCCAGATCCTAATTTACCTTGGATAGTCCCTCATTATGGGCCCTATGTATTTTCTATGTCTACTAAATGCATGATGCACAACCGTTGCACTGGATGAGGACATACCTAAAATTAAAACCTGTATCAGTTAACAAAACAATTTACTATCTCTCTAAAAAATGAGACCCCTTCCAACTCTTTCATCTTTGTGAGGCTCTATTACTTACACTTTCATTTTTTGTTTTAAATCTAACAGAGAATTAAGGAGCTAGAAGAAAGAATTGAAGGTCAAAAAAGACAAATAAAAGAATTAGAGGAAAAGGTAAGGTAATAGAAAATAAAGTATTCTTAAATTACACAAGTATTTTATATGGTTGCATGTGTATGTATCTATTGAGACAATAGTCTTATTGAGAAAGTAAAGTTGAAAGTCAAAGTTCTTATAATACCAGTTCATTCTAGCATTATTAGTATAGATGGCGCCTATTTGAAATGCAATGTTATAGGTAGGCAAACCTCAAAAAAATGAAATTTTCTCAGTTAAGCAATAACATTCTGACATTCATCTGAAGTACATCTATACTTAGTCCTCCTAATTCAGTGACAATTGTTTCCCCTGATATTTCAGTAGTTCTGTTTCCAGTCTTGACTGAAAACAAGAAGTGGAGGGGCAGATAAAGATAGAAAAAAGCAGGTTAACTAAACATTTTAAAGTACTTAGGGCAAGTTTGAGGCCAGTTATTTTATCCATATGAAAAATGTTGTAGATCAGTGGTTCTAAACCATTTTGATCCTTCAACTTCCCCCCCGCCCCGACCATGTGGACTCACCTTTCTCCCAACCCCATATGCAGTCCTGTAGTCCATTTTCAGGCCCCCTCACACAGTCCCAAAGTCCAGCTGGGCCCTAGCCCCACCTAATGTCCCTTAGCCAACCACTGTGCAAACCCATGCACAGCTCCACAGGCTAGCTAACTCAAGGAAAGTTTGCCAGGCACACCAAGCAGGTCTACATACAGTAGCTCTGGAACAGAAGCAGTATAGCTGTAGAGGCAGCATAGTCACAACTGTGCCACTTTCCTGTTCAGCAAGTGACTCTGCCTGGCACTTAAGGTCCCCTTCAGGTAGGCAGCCAACCCTCTGGTTCCTTTTGGATCTGTGTCTGTGGCCCTCCAGTGGTCTATGGCCCACCAGTTGAGTATTAGGGTTGCGCGAAGCTCCGGTCACTGATTTGATTCAGCGGAGATTCAGCCCAATTCGGTGGCCAAATCTCTGAATTTGAATTGAATCAGGAAACCCTTTAATCTCTCTGAATTGAATCGGAACCCTTTGAATCGATTTGGAGAGGTTTGGAAAGGTACCAGGCACGGCTTGTGAATGCTGCGATGCTGGGGCGGATGGAGCATCCCACAAGAGTGCAGGGGGCTCTCTAGCACACTTGGCAGCAGGCCCAGAAGTGGACCAGAAGCACTTCTGGGTCCACCGGGGAGTGCGCAGGGGGGCCTTCCTGTGCCCATCTGACTCAACAACTAGTGCCTTCTGGGTCTGGGGGGACACCCAGGATCCCCCTGTGGCCAATTTTCATGGGATGCTCCATCCGCCCCACCATCACAGAATTCACAAGCCACGCCTGGTACCTCAAGGTATGTAGAAAAAACATTTAAAGCTGTGTCTATGGCTGAATCACTGATTCTCCAAATCAGCATCAAATCTTCAGATTTGGATTTGGCTGAATGAAACTGGGGACAGTGATCGAATCAATGAATCAAATCACTGTCCCTGATTCAGGCTGAATCCGAATCTGAATCAAATAGAGCCCATTTCGCACACCCCTATTGAGTATCAGTATTTAGAGCAGGGGTGGGCAAAATGCGGCCTGCAGGCCAGATGCAGCTCACCAAGCCATTCTATTGGCCTGCTGGGCCCCTAAACAATTTAGAAAATTAATATTAATCTGCCCTCAGCTGCCTGTCATGTGGCCCTCGATGGCTTGTCGAAATTCACTAAGTGGCCCTCTGCCCAAAATAATTGCCCTCCGTTAGAGTGTAGCTGCTTTGGTACACACTTAGATTTGTCTTGGTGAAGTACCTAGCACTTAAATAATTTGGATGCCACTGGAGAATCATAGAAAAATAAGCCTGGACTTCATCAGGTCATATAGTCCAGAACCCTGGCCAGGACAGGATCATTTCTGTCTAAACCATCCTAGACAAATGTTTGTCTAACCCTCAGAGGCATTCAATGATGGAAATTCCACAACCTCTTTAGGGAACTTACTTCAGGGTTTAACCACCTGATAATTAGACAGTTCTTCATAATATCTAACATAAATCTCCCTTTTTGCAATTTAAGCCCCTTTCTTCTTGTTCTGATCCTGTGGCCATGAAGAACAATTGATCACACTACTCTGACAACACTTCCTGTATTTGAAGACTGTTATCAAGTCTTCTATTCTTTAGATTAAATAATCTCCCTTGTTCTAAATTTCATCCCGTCATGTTTTCTAGATCACTAATTTTTGTTGTTGCTGTCTTCTGGGCTCTCTCCTATTTTTCTGCATTTTTCTTAAAGTATATTGCCCAAGCTAGACACAATACTTCAGCGTTCGATAGAGTAGAAGAATCACTTTCCATGACTTGCAGTCTGTAATCATCTTAGTGCATCCTAGTGTAATATTTGTTTTATTTTTATTGTCAATTAAACAATATTATTTATTTGTATTTTGCAGTAATTACAATGTTGAGAACAAGGGATAATTCCCAGGTCCTTCTCTGCAGTACTGAGCCTAGTCAGTTGTTCCCTATTTGGATTTATGCACTTGGTTTTTCCCCCCTAATCAAGTAGACTTGTCTTTACTGAATTTCATTCCATTTACTTCTGACCATTTTTTCAATTTATCAAAGTCATTTTGAACCTTAATATATATAAAGAAATTATAAAAAATAATTATTAATTATGAATAATTTTCTGTGCTTAAAAATTAAGAGGATGCCTGAGAAACACTGACACTGGTTATGCTTATTTAGCTTGTATACAGACTTTTGGAAGGTTAGACCAGGGGAAAAATGGCCACCCAACCTAACTTAGTTCACTCACTTGCAGACCTTACACTTAGATCCCTAATTAGGTCCATCCACGTGCCAAACTGTATAGATATTCCCTAAAGGTTAGAATGGTTAAGAAATGGCTGCCCCAATCTAATTTTAATTCACCTGAGACATGCACTAATTTAGATCAGGCACAGTTAGACTGATCAAACCAAATGTCTGCACACATTCAGAGCATAGCACTAGGCTGGGAAAACTCAGTTTTGAGGCTTTGCTTTTCTTCTTCTGCTCTGCCACCAGGATATTTTTAGCCCCCAACTCCTTCCTCCAAGCCCCAGAAGGATAACCCCTCCTTTCCCACCAGGCCATGGCCTTGAACCCAGAGTCTTGGCCTATGGGGTACAGTAGCTCACTCCAGTCTGCCATCTCTCTAGTGGAATGGTGAGGCAGACACAGGTGGCCATCCAGTTCTATGCCAGGGGCTTTTAACCTTTTTGGGTCAGTGTACCCCTGGCAGCTGGTCGAGAAGGAAGGAGTTCCCCAGCAGCCAGTCGATGGGTTGGGGGGGTGTCCCCCAGCAGCCGATCGAGAGGGGGGGAATTGGTGCTGGTAATATGGCGGCAGTAGAAGTGCCGGTGGTAGCTCCCACTGCTGAATACCCCCTGGGGCCATCCCAGGTACCTCCAGGTGTATGCATACCCCTGGTTGAAAATCCCTGTTCTAGACACACACCTACTCCCTGCCAACGAAGTGGTCAGCGAAGGTCAGCTGACCTCTTACACCTTCCCATATAAACCCCAGACCTGGAAGGGGAAATGTCTGGACAACAAGGTGCAACCTTGTCTCATGTTGCTACTGACTGACAGATTCTCTGGATACCTGATCCAGCTAGCCCCCTGACCTTACCTTCTGCCTGACTCTTTGGATACCTGACCTGGCTCTGGCCTGATCTCCCAGATACCTGACCTGGCTAGTCTCCTGGCCTTGCACTCTCCTTGACCCTCTGAATCTCTGACTAGGTTCCCTGAACAGATCTCCTGCCTTTTGACTTCCTAGCTTCTTATGACCTTGAGGTGACTCCTAGACCTTGTCACCTACAGCCCAGTATGGCAATTTGCCTGGACCACTACATACAGCAAAGGGGCTTGGCATGGAGGCAGTCTCTTTACAGGAGTCCCTGGAATGTCTCAGTCCAAACCAGCTGACACCAATGGCCTTAGCCTGGCAAGTACTAGAAGAACAGGTCTGGCAGTTGTTGACAGAGAATCAGTCCTTCTTCTCCCACCTCTACAGTAAGGTTTCAATGCATCAGCCTCCCCACCTGGAGCACCACTTACCCACTCTATTACCCAAGATGTTTGATGGTGACTGGCTACATATCCATGGGTTTCTCGTGCAATGCTGCATACTATTGATAGCCCAACATAAGCTCTACTCCCAAGACACAGCATAGCTGAGCCTAGTGGTTAGTCTCCTAACCAGGAGATGCTCTGAAGTGGGACACACCTTTGCTGGATTGCAATAGTCCAGTCCTCCAAGACTGGGGAGCATTCCACAAGGACTTCATGGTCATTTTTGGAGACCCTCATCCAGCCCAGAGGGCAGAGATCACACTGTGGCCCCTGCATTTGGGGGGAAGACTATTACGGCTTATGCTTCCCTCTTCCACTGCTATGCAGCAGACACCCAGTGGAATGAGGCAGCCCAACTGCATTATTTCTGCTGGGGTCTGTGGGAAGAGATCAAAGATAAACTGGCTTTGGTGGGAACACCTTCAAAATGTGAGGCATTTGTGGACCTGGCTGTCCATATTGACCTCCACACCTCTGGAATCTCAGTGAAAAAATATGAGGCCTTGCCCTCTCCAGGGTCTCACCCTACTATGGTTACTGCCACCCCCTTGCCAGCAGGCAGGGGGACCCAGCACCCCATACCAGAATACCAGGAATACTGCCAGCAGCAGAAGCCATGCCACAGTGCTGGGGCCCCAGGACATAAGTGCATTATACACTCCCAGAAAGGGGATCAAGGTCAAGGTAAATGATGCCAGGCCTGGTAAAAGGGACCAGCTTGGCATCATCCAAAGTCCCCAAGACGTCCACAGTCCATGAAGTCTGTGGCAAACCCCAGGCATGGAATCCCTGATTACTGTTATCTGCCCTGGAGCAGAACTGCTCATTCCTCTTGCTGACTACCCTGGTGGACACAGGAGCCACAGGTAATTTCATAGACAAGACTGTGCCACAAGGATTACAAATCCCACTAAGGCAGTGATACAAATCCAAAATCATAGAGACTATAGATGGCTCACCCCTGGTTGAAGGGCCTGTGGAAGATGAATCTCCTTGGACACCAGGAAACCATACACTTTGGGGTCATTTACTCCCTACACTACCCCTTGATTCTGGGGTTTCCCTGGCTTATGCACCATGACTCCAGTAATTGGGTGAAAAGCCTGGAAGGTCCACTTTGAACTGAGACAATTGACAACAACACTCCTGGAAGGCCGGGGGGACAGAAACCCTTATGATCCAAGCTGGAGGCCCACCTGCTGCAGCTCCCACAAAGGTGCAACCTCCAGAACCCGAAACCCATTTGCTCAAGAAATACCAAGAGTTTTCAGACATCTTTGAAAAGAAAAACATGAATGTTCTTCCTCTGCATCAAGGTTATGACTGTCCCATCAATTTACAGCCAGGAGTGAAAACAAGGTCCTGTGGGACCTATTATACTATCCTGGAGCCTGAACTCTCCAGCCTCTGCCAGTACCTAGAAGAGAACCTGGCCCAGGCTTCATACAAAGGTCCACCTCACCTGAAGGAGACCCTGTCCTGTTTGTTAAAAAAAAGGATGATAGTTCCCATCTATGCATTGATTATCGGGCACGGAACCAGATTACTATCTGAAGTCAGTACGCTCTACCCCTCATCCTAGAGCTGCTTGATTGTCTCAAAACTGCTCATATTTTCACCAAACTTGATCTTTGGGATCTTTGGGGAGTCTATAACTTGGTGCAAATCCACATTGGGGATGAATGGAAGACCACATTTTAGATGTGATATGGGCCTTTTGAATACCTAGTCATGCTCTTTGGACTCCTCAACAACCTTGACTATTTTCCAACATTTTATCAATGACATGCTACAAGACCTACGGGACCAATTTGTAATTTGTAATTGCCTACCTGGATAACATCCTGATTTTTCTGGGAAGAATATAGCCAACATGCAACACACATCTGAACAGTATTGGAAAGACTGTGCCAACATGGCCTGTTTGCCAATTTAGAGAAATGCATGTTCAACCAAATGACAGTCAAGTTATTTGGATTTGTTCTATCTTTTGAAGGCCTGAAAATAGATCCCAGGAAGTTTGGGGCCATCTGTGAGTGAAAAGCCCCCAGAATGTCAAAGATTTCCAGAGATTCCTATTATTTGTAAACTTTTACCATAGATTAATCCCTAACTTTGCCCAGGTACTAAGTCCTGTCATGACACTTCTGCAGAAGAACGTCCAGTTCTACTGGTACAAGGTGGCCCAGCAAGTGTTCAAATACCTGAAACAGGCCCTCACTCCTGTGCTCACACATCCAGACCCTGCCCTGCCATTTGTGGTATAGAAGGCTGTATCTAACACTGCCATAGGCTCAGTGCTTTCCCAATGACAGGGCCCATAATAGACCACAAAGCCCTGCAATTTGTTTTCCAAAAATGTACCCCAGCACAACAGAATTACAAGATTCTGGATTGGAAACTCCTGGCCATTCATGTGGCCTTTGGGGAATGGTGTCACTGCCTTGAAGGAACATGATACAAGACACATATCTAGAATACATCTGCAAGGCAAAAGCTCTCAATCAGAGGCAGCTATGCTGGGCACTTTTCGTCTCTCATCTTGATTTCTCTCATTGGTACAAATACCAACTGGAGTCCAAAAATGGAAAAGCAGATGCATTATTCTGAAGGACGGAATATAACACTAACCCTGTTCAGGTGCCAGCCAAGCCCAGCCATGTTCTAAAACCACACAACCTTGCCAGCACCATGCAACCCATAGACTTGCTGACCCTGCTTCAAGCAGCCATTCAAGAAGAAATACTCCCCCGAGGAGCAGGCCACTCTCTCTCAGCAGCCCCACCACGTACAGGATGGGGCTTCACTCACTTCAGATAAGATTTATGTGCCTCTGGGTCTAGCCAGGCCAACTGTACTTCACATAAGCCATGACTCACTGTTAGCAGATCACCTGGGATCAGAAAGACCTATCAACTGTTTGCCCAGTACTTCTGGTGGCGTTGCGTTCAAGAGCCAATCTGATACTTCATCCAGTCCTGTAATCTTTGCACCCACACTAAAAGACCCACACAGAAACCATGTGGGATCCTCCAGGCTCTTCCTATCTGCTCCTCTCCCCTCCCTGCCCCGCTCTCCTGCCCCTCCCCCCCAACCCTGGTCTGCCTTTTCCCAAAACTTCATCATAGAGATACCCAAATCCAATGGATAGTCCACAATCCTGGCAGGGAAAGCCCAGTAGAACAACTTTGGCCCACTTTATCCCATGCATAGGTCTGCCCTCAGCTAAAGGCACAACCCAGTTATGGTTGGACCATGTGGTTCACCTTCATAGTCTCCTGGACCACATAACCTCCAACCACGGGTCCCAGTTCATTTCCTGATTCTAATGCAAGGCCCTGCATTCGCTGGGAGTCTATGCCCAGCTGTCATCTTAATAGCACCCACAAACAAATGGTAAAGCGGAGGGAACAAACTAGGTCCTAGAGAAGTGCCTCGGGTGCTACCTCAATTTCTAGCAAGACAGCTGGGTAACACTTGCTGAATTTTGCCTATAACCACTCCATGCACACCTCAACTGGACAAACACCCTTCTTTTCCAATTATGGGTTCCACCCCCAACTACACCGCATCTTACCCATCACCTCTGATTAACCCTCCAGCTACAGACTGGAAACAATATGTGCACAAAGTCCAAAAGGAACTAAAAACCCAGCTGGAAAGGTACAGGAAGCATATAAACAACATGCAGACCAACAATGACAGCTAGGACCTGCTTACTCAGTAGGGAAGAAAGCATAGTGGTCAACAGAGTACTGTTGCATCCACCAGCCCTAATTTTAGTTCAGCTGAGAGATGCACTAACAAGGTTAGAAACTGGATCACAAGTGTATCAGCCCATTCTGTATCACCCCAAAAATCAACCTGGTCACCTTTGAATTGCAGCTTCTCCCAACACTTCAAATCCACCTGATCCTTCACATGTCCTTTTCAAACCTTACACAGAAAACACACACCTTCACTGATCCCAACTTCTTCTTCCACCCATAATGGTTCACAGCCAAGAAGAGTCCTTAGTCAAGAAGATCCTGGACTCAAGATGGCAGTAAGAAAAATTACAGTACCTAGTACATGGGGAAGGGTACGGACTAAAGGAACGCATGTGTGGGAACCCATGGAAAACATCCACGCCTCTGATCTGGTACAGATCTTCCACAGGAACCACTCATGAAAACCTGGACCAGTGCCCCCTAGAAGGGGTTGTTGGGGGGCAGGTAATGCCAGGCCATGCACCCAGAGCCTTTGCCTGGCCATCATGGCAGCTCACCCCAGTCTGCCACCTCTGCAGTGTAACACTGATACTGAAATGGGTGGCCAGAACACTTCATCTAGACCTAGGCACATGCCCACTCCCTGCCACCAAAGTGACCAGCCAAGATCAGCTGACCTCTTTCCTCTTCCCATATAAGCCTCTGACCTGGAAGGAGAAGGATCTGGGCCACAAGGTGCAACCTTGTACCTAGACTGCTGCAACCTTGGGTTGTGCTGCTACTGACTGACAGATTCTCTGCACACCTAACCTGGCTAGCCTCCTGACCTCATACTCTGCTTGATCTTCTGGATCTGCAACTTATTGTTTCAGACAGATCTCCTGGCTTCTGACTTCCTGGCTTCTCCTGATCCTAAGGTGACCCTGCCCCCCCCCTCCCCCTCAACCTGTCCACCCATGGACTGGCATGGGTGGAACGGTAGTGTTTCCCTCCCTGTCTCCTACGTAGGGAGTCCTAGGCACTCTTCCTGCCCTCAGCATCCCTCTTGTGCTAAGATATTTAGAGTCAATATGAAGCTCGCTTCCCTGCATAATGGATTCAGAGGCCTCATAGTGTCTGTCTGCTTTATCTCTGACTCCAGTGCACCCTTCAGCTCAGGGAACTTCAGGACATCCCAGACATGGAAGGCTTCTCAAAAGACCATTGGAGAATTTTACTCTGAAAGCAAAACAAACAGCAGAAGCTATTTCAGTGCCCAAGGTAGAGGTGAGGTTGGTATGGGGAGGAATTATGCTGACTACTGGAGAGCAGGAGAGTGGATTCTTACCTGCCTCTGCTCTCTGTACTCAGGAGACAACTGCTCCAGCTGTTTCTGGAGCAGCATGAGCTTGGCTGCTGTAATAGAGAGATACGCTCACAGCAAACTGGTGTAGCAACCCCATCAGTGTAGACTCCCTGGAGGTGCTTCCAGTGCCCCGTTCACTCCCCGTCCCCACCCTAGATATGCTTCTGGGTGCAGAACCGTGCTTCCCATGCAGGGAGGGGGACACATTCCACTCACTCCCTCTATGGGGCAGGGGCCTGCACCTGCCCATCTCCCTGTGGCTGGACTGCACAGGCCTTGCCCTGCCATGCAAACAGTCCTGGGAGGAGGAAGCAATACCAGTACTTCCTCTAAGTGGATTCTTCGGGCTGATACACCCCTCAACACACCATAGTTACACTACTGAACAGAGACAAATAAAACACTTCTTTCTAGGAGTGAGAGAATGGGTTCAGTAAAAAGCCATTTGATCTTTCAACGCAAAAGAAAAGCAAACCTAAATGACACTCTTTTGGACTTCCAAAAGAATTCAATTAACTTTTTCCCTTCATGGTACCAGCTGGCACTAGATGCAGTAATTTAGGAAGCCTCATGCACTCCTGAGAAATTTTGCAGACCCAAGATGTATGGTTGAGCGCACAGACTGAGCCTCTGCACCTTCTGAAGTTCACACATCACTGTTTATTTCCCCTCTTCTCAACTGACAGTTTTGCCTTACTCTTGTCTATAGCCATGGCTTGTTTCTCACTTGACACACTGTAAATTCTTTTTCTCTTTCTTTCTCTTCTTCCATTTTTTCTTTCTCTCCCGTCCCGTTTCCTTTTCAGTTTTTATTTTTGTTTTTATTTTTCTCTTTAGCCTTCATTCTTTGGTCATAGTCCATCAAGCCACATACAGAAGGTAAGTATTCTGTTTTATGATTATTTCCTGTTTCTGCTTCACATCTATTAAAGCTTCTTTCAGTGCTCTCCTGTCACTATTCAGAGTGCTTCTATAGTGTTTTTGGTCAGTAATGAGTCAACTGATAATAGAAATATCTAAAGTCTTTGAAACATTGTGGGAAAGAAAAGGGCACTCTTATGTGTTTTGGATGAAGTAAATTCCAGTTTAAGTTTCCTTTTTATGAAAGGACAGATAAGGGAGATGTAAAAACAGTAGGTGAACTGCTAGAAAATTGAAAAGTAATGAGTCTATTTATATTTCCTATGATAGTACATTGCATTCTGGCATATGTCACTTGCCTTAACCATTCATTAGTTATTGTTCTTAATTAATATGAGTCCATTGCAGATTTTCAGTATCAGGTCAGGGCTAAACGAGTCTGAGTTTTGAGTACACTGAGCCACTTCTCATGCCTTCATACTTTCCAACTGCAAGAAATGTCTTTATTCAGGACCATATGTTTTACAAACAGAATGTTTCTTAACAAAGAATAATGTCTCAGTGCCCTAGTTACTGTTTGAATCTGATTTATTCATTCCTCTGAGTAAGATCATGATTACAAGGAAATAATGGAAAATACTTGTCAGAAACTATTTTATTAATAGTATTCTATGGAACAATACTTACTAAACATATTTCAACATAATTTAATGCAAATATTTTACTATATGAATGGTACAGTTTAAATTATTGTACATAGCCAATGTAAACCTTATTGGTATTTTATGCATGTGTTTTTTTTACCTTATTTTTGTTTTCCTATGATTCTATATCCTTGGTATATTTTCTTGTTCCAGCATACAGAAGAAGCTAGAAATGCTTATACTGTTATTGAGCAAGACAACTTTGGTTGCCAAGATGGAAAAGGACATTACAATTTCAAGATATTAAAATATATATTCTATTTTGTCACTGAAGATTTAATTTTTTTGACCATTTTAGACAGAAGATGAATTAGGATTTGTGGGAATTTCTTAATCTGGAGTCTGCTTCTTTGGCATCTCTGACTGTACATTTTTATAAGATAGAATTAGAACTGAAAAAGAAGAAAGCCAAAAAAGACATTTTATTAAGTATTACAGGCTTCTTTAAGGGAAGCCCCATCTCTGCTGCTTGAAATAAAGGCTTTACATAAAGAGCAGTATACTAATTCAGATAAAGTGAATATATTTTGGTTCCCTGCTAAGCAGGTAGTAAACTGCTTCTGTAAAGAAGTAATCATGTCCTGTTTTTTGTCACCCATTTATATTTGTTATTTGTAGTTATTTAAATATATGTCTTGAAGGAAGTTTCAAAAAGAGTTCCAGATTAGTCATGGATGAAAACATAAATGTGAATGAAGTGTTTTGTTCCAAGATGTTTTGCATTCATTTCAAATGGAAAGTAGAACTAATTTGTTTGATGAAAATTCAGAAGAATGTGTTTCTTTTCTATAACACAGGGTATGTATCATGATTTGCTGAATATCCCATTTACTTGGTGAGTGAGAAGCATGTGGCTAAATACTTTGAGCCTTCAGAATTTAAAGTTTGCATTTTGTTCTGAGGTTTTAGTAAACCAGTCTTTGCAGCACTAAGAGAAAAATGGCACAACTATATGTAATTTACTTAAGTTCCTGAATGGCAATGGAGCATTTATCATCCAACTGGAACTTTCAACCTGAAAAGGAAATAAAAATGAAAATGTCTCCTCACTATCCACATGTCCAGAGCACTGGAAGATGGAATTTTGTAAAGGAAGAGGAAGGTATGATTAATTTGAGGGGGGAAAGAGGCACGAGTAATGAAGGAAGAAAACCCCAGAATGTATCTTTTGGATTTAAAAATGACAGATAAGAAAAATCATGTCCTCTTTAAAAACATACATGAAGAAAGAAAAATCAGAAAGAAAGCACAAAGATGTATTTCACCAAAAAGAAACAAAAGCAGCAGAAACTAAATGCCGAAATCAGGATTTACCAACGATTATATGAAAAACAGCTCATCTGGCCTTCTCCACAAATACGATGTGTTTAAAACAAAGACATGATTAAGAAAATATGTCTCTTGTTTTGGAAGATAAGAGAGAGAAGAGAAACTGAAGGATTTACTGAAAGGTAAGAAAAAATGACTGATAGACAGTTATTGTTTATAGGTTGCTATAGTCCTCAGGCTCAAATTGTTTTGATTATATTATGGAAAGGATTATAACCTGACCAGTATTTGCATATAAATAGTATTTACTCATGCTTCATTTTTTGTCAGTGGGTCCACTATTATACTTCGAGATAACAATATTTTCTAGATCAATGCTTAGCTCTAATTGAGCACTGTACCAATTATAGTTATATTGGCTTTAATTTAAGTCTGAAGAGTGTCTGTGAATCAGCAGTGGTTTCCTCCAGTTACGTCTATGTCAAAAAAAATGGTGCATGGAAGCTTTTGACAATGATTTCACACACAGACCACTACCACCCTCTATTTGGAAGGGTAAAAGTGGTTCGTGGTAGTTCTTCATAAGGTATCTTAGGTTTGATCCCTGCATTATTGAGAGAGAGTGCCTGCTGGAAATCACATGACAATAGTTCCTGTGTCCCAGCTCAATAGAAATAGTTTTCACTTGGCTTTTCAGAGCAAGATATTCTTTTTTATTGGCTATGGCCCTGCAGGGAAAAATCGATAGCAAAAACCCCCCCGTCATCATCTGCTAGTCTCTGTGTCTGAGCGTGGCACATAGGGAATTGTCATAAGAAAAAAAAATTCAATGATATCTTTCCTGTCTGAGTAAACAAAAAAGAAAGAGGCCCAACCTGGTTTATGGGGGCATTTGATATTAATTTTAGCGTCCTATAGCGTTAAAAATGAGAAGCTTTCCCTGAACTAGAGAACAAACAGATAGGTAGCTAGGAATTACATCCAGCATTCACCCTTGTCACAGAAACTAGCCATCATTGACTCCTTACTCTCCAAAAGCTTGAGTAAAAAGATTGATTTTGCCACCTGCACAGAGCATCAATAGTTTGAAGTTATTTCAGATCCCAAGATGCCCAAATTCCAAATCTGGGGTTTCTCACAGAGAATGTCCAATTACCAATTTCTCTTGTTTAAACTAAGCTCCCTCATTGTGCAACTCACTAATTTCAACTCTGCCAGAGTGCGACTTGATGCTAAGTTGTCTGAAAAATTAGACTTGAGGTGTTCCAAGATGGCACCCAGCATTACTGAACACACCAGTTCCTAGGCCCCATACAGATATTCAGTTTCTACTGGGAGACTTGCCACTCTCCCATTGGAGCCATGAGTGTGCAGACATTCAAGCGTTTTCACCCAGAGTCAAAATGGGCACTCCAGGAGAAAAATGTGACTACAACCGAATAGAAATTGTTCCTGGGAGAGTTGAGCATTGGGAGAATGAACATATATGCACATTTTCCCACAGCTTGACTCTTCCTGGAGACCATGAGGAGTGGAACTACAAGGAAAGGCTCCCATGCCTTCCAGAGACCAGAATCACTCCAGTCTGGAGAAGGTGTAGGGGGTACCTTCTCCTGCCCCTCCTGTAGACCAGGGGGGGAGGGAAAGAGCAGTCACCAGTTATTCCCTGCCTACTTCTTACTCCAGAGTCTCCAGTGTGAGAACCAGGCAGGGGACTTTGCCCTGCTGATCCAGCCCCCAACAGGAATGGGAGGCATGAGGCAGCCCATTCTTTCCCCAAACTAGGATCACCTGTGAGGAGCAGGGTAGAGGGGGCTTGCAGACTGAAAGTTTTGTACTGCTCCCTCTCTGGAATCGTTTCTAACAGTGGAAATTTTTCCATCTCATCCTGAACTAAGCACCTAGACTCTCTAAACATTGAGCAGTCATTGCACAGAATATGTAAGTTTTAATACATAAGTCCTTAAAGGAGAGATTGGAATCCAGTTGTCCCTCTCCTGAATGAGTGGTCTAACCACTGATTTACAGGTTCATGTTCCTTCTTTGTCCCTCCCTCTGGCCCAGTGAATCTTGTCTCTCCCTCTGTTTTGCAAAGTGTGATTCCTTTAACACAGTTGTTCCCAACCGTTTTTATACTATGGACCAGCAAACTCAGTCAAAGAATGTTGGGACATTGGGTATAGAAATCATCTAATTTACATATTTACATTTAATTTTTACGTGCAGAGGGGGGTTGTGAGGATCAAAGGCAGTGTATGACACAAATCAAACTCAATAGGCAGAGGCACGGTGCAAAACATCTGCACATATAATGCACAGCAGTTTCAGAGCCTGCGAATCTCCTGATGGGATAAACCCACACGTTATGTATGAGGAGTCATCCTTGCAATTGAAAATTGCTTTGTTTCGTTTTTTGGCATTTTCTTGGCATTGTACATCCTCTGCGCAGGTCTCCTCTCTGTCATTCAGAACTTCATTGTTCCTTTTCGCAGAAGCACTCTTTCCAAAAAAACAATCCACTGAAGTTTGCTTGATCATCTCTTAGCCATTGCATTTGATATGGAAGGGACTAGCCACAGTTACCACAGTCCAGTTTCAAAAGCTAAAGTCACCATCATTGGCCAAGCGAGGACATTCTTGCCCAGCCAGTCAGTATAGCGTGGGCATGGCCTGGGCATAAAACTGCTCCTAGCAGTGTTTAAAGGTCATGCCATGATCCAGCAGCCAACCCTTTGTGTCCCAGTACCAGGCAGCGGCCCAGTGGTTGGGAACCTCTGCTTTAAGGTGAGGAGAGGGACCTCATCACAAAATAGCCCATAGCCAAGTGTTATATCCCTATCCTGAGATGTGAGTGTTGTTAGCTTGAGCTACCTTGGGTTGAGCAAGGCATAAAATCAAGATTTCCCCTGTCCCATTTGAGTACTGTAATCATGAAGTTGTTGCATAAATGGGGACTGTCAGTACTACCAGTAGTGTTTTTGAGTTAAAATGACTCCAGCTGCTGTGCTTTGAATAGAATTCAC